TAATATCATGTTGCCACACTTAATTATCGTCCGTATGTGCGCCTAAAAGATGAAATTCAGATTAATATTTTGAGATACTTGCACATCTTTTCCCCGAAACATCGATTAATTAAATAAAATTAAGTATATTTTAATATATTTCTTTTAAAAATCTGTTTCAATATCCGATATTTTTATTGGCCCTTCGAGTTCATAGTCTTACAGTGGAGACGGTATTTGGAATGCCTCCCCCTTTCTTGTTATACCATGTGTACTGCGTTGTAAACGCTTGAAGGTTCCTACTTTTAAAAATACAGATAAGTAAAATATAAATAATAAATTAAAGAGTTTTCACCTGCACTGTTAGTAATTGTTTTAAAATATTTACGTACTCTTAACATTGTAAATGGCTTGAAAATTCCAGCTAAAGCATACCGCGAGAGAAAAAAAAAATGAAAAGATGACATTTTTTTCTGTTCGGACCATTATCCACGAATTAACGTCTCCTCGAAACCGTGATTTTTACTAAATCCACGAAAATTGATGCCCACGAATATTAATGAAACCACAGTATTCAAAACATAAGTTCTTCAACAATACTAATTATAATTGTGCTGTAGCAGGAAATGAAAAAAATGCAAGGAATCAGACCGGGATTAGAACTCGGGCCCCCTGAATTTTCAGTCAAATGATCAACCATCTGAGGTATCTGGCCACCGACGATCGCATTCCTCCCTCCATAAAGGTCTTTTGCCATCAAAGACATCAACCCGGACATTTCCATGGCAGGACTTTCACCTGTCTCTTCCAGTGCATGGCACGGCACCATATGTCACAGGAAAGGAGAAAAATGCTGAACTATATTGGCAAGGGTTATCAAACTCGTCTGACCGTCATAGCCCTAATTAGTCTATTATCTATAGATGCAGGGAATTTCAGTACTACAAAATGCTCACTCATGAAGTATAATCTTTTATTTACTGTGGATCAACAGAGCTCAAAATTTAAGGTTTGCAATTAGCTCTGGAACGTCTCTGATCTAGAAAAAAACACTCAGATCCGGAAAAATTCTTAAACAGTTGAATTTTTTTTATAGAAGTAATGTTTATTATCATGTAAATAACATGATCTTTAATAAAGAAGTTTAACTTAAAAAAAGACATTCAAGTTTACATGCATTACTTTTTTCTTATGCTTGAAGTGTGTGCTGCATAAATAAATAATAGGTAAAAATTAAAACTAATTTCAAACATTTTTCATGAGAATTGGACGTACATATATACTCCCATATCGTTTCTTTTTCTTGTTAGCCTAATGCCTTCGGATGTTCTTTTGTTCTGAAATTTTTACTAGTTTGCAAAATATCCTCTCATCTTTTCTGTAATGTTTTAATAAATGCATCAGAATTGATCAAAGATGCTTTATTTATATTGGGATTGTATTTCCTATTTTTAATTACAGCAACAACCCTCTCAAGTGTAATGAATCAGTATGCTAAGTACAAACGGAACGCATTATTTATACATAAAAAATGTTTTGCAATGTTATTTCGTCCAACTTTCAATATTTCCCGTATTTGATTTGATATAATAGTAATACTGATTATGGATTCAACAACCTTGATCCGTCATCTGTGGGTTCCATGATTTAGATTTTAACGCATAGATTAGTAGGAAATATATGCATGTGCCAATGGTAGGAATAAGCACCAATAATGGACTGCTGAGGACTTGTATAATGCTTGCATTTACTTTGGTAGGTCAGCAGACATCGTATTTGTCAGGTAGCTAACGCGAGTTTTATGTGAAACGGATATAATGAGACACAGATTCGCCTCAATTGGTCAGCAAGGACTGCAAGCACAAAATTATGAATGTTTCAAGCTCCAAACGTAATTAAAAAATCCACCAAATTTGTCCCAGCTCCTATGACTTTAGAGGCCTGTGTTTACTCTGCTCCCTATTTTTATTATTTTAATTGACTTTTGTACAATGGTAGGTGCCAATTGTTTATAGAATTTCTTTTTTTCTTTAAACGGTATTTTCTTTTAACAAAAATATTTAATAAGAGTATTTTGATCTTATTTGCAAGCTTGCTCTAAAATATACAAAACTTATATCAGTAGCATCATTGTTAAGGTCAAGATGTTCTCTAGGTTGTTCTCAGTAAGACTGAGTGTCAACCCCTCCAAGTAATCCCCAGATTCCTGTGCAGTGCCCCTACTGGTGGGGTTTCCCATTCTATATTTAAAAAAAAAAACATTGGATTTTTCGATCAAATTTAACTTTTTTTTTACTTTTTACTTTTATTTTAATAAAGAATCTCCAGTATATATTACATGTATTTATTTTACATGAATTTCACTGATATTTAGCAGAATCATTATGAAAATCGAAAGCTGTCTTTTGTTCACTATACAACCCTAAAGAAGTGATGAACACCAACAGAATTAATATTCAGTCTACATGAGCAAGAATTTTAAAAACAAATACAAATAATTATATAATTATGAGGTCAAACAGAACATTTGAAGTATGCAAAGAAACTGGAGTTTCCCTCATCTAAACATAATATTAAAATGGTCTAAGAGTAATTTATCTAAATCTCAAATTATTTTGATTATCAGAGAAATGTTTTTCCAGTACTGCTCTTTCTGGTTTATATTGCAATTTTCATTACTTTAATTTAGTATTATGAACATACTAGTATTGATGCACATATTCATATCTTGGATATAAATGATTTAAAGATTAATGCAAAGAAAAGTGGGAAATGTTTGCAGATATACACACTTTGATAGGAATAACAAACAATAAGCGAGGACTGAAATATTGCTTTATCAACCTTGATAGGTAAGTATGTATCAAATCTGACACAATGATAACGTGAGTGTCATGTGAGCGGTTAGATTTTGTGATTTTGGTCGGCAGAGAGTGCAATCATAAAATAAAGGTAACTTTTTAAGTTTAATTTTTTTTATAGCAATATCACAATATTTGTCCTTCTTTAAATAGCATTTTCTTTCAAGTAACGGAAAAGGTTAAGATATTTTCTGCAATACCACTCTCCAATCTGTACGAATTCTTTTATTTTTCTATTTTACATCACTTTCTATGTCAAGGGAAAGGGTGTTACTGTTAAATAACTTCGTAGCACAGATAAGGCTACAAAAAGAAGGCGGAGGCTAATCTATACGGAAATATCAATGATGACATAACCCGTCAAGGTAGCCTAGTGCGGGGTGTTTGCTTCGTGATCGGGAGACCCTGGTTCGATTCTCGTTGGCCGCTTGACGTAAACATAGGTAGTGACTGTTATTTCGCCAAGCGCCCGACATTAGAAATGAAAGTCAGGGGTCTCTCGGATATGACCTTTAAAATGTAGGTCCCGTATCACAGTGGCCGTTGGCACGATAAAGAACCCTCATTGCTCAATGGCCCTGAGTGCCGAGTATACGTCTAAATTTGAAACCCTTCACCGGTATATGAGTGAAAAATTCTCGAATGGGACGTTAAACATTGTACGAAGATCAATGATGCCATCATACAAAACTAACAATTCTATAAAAAAAATAATAATAATAATATGATTTTATACTATAGGGATTTTTTGAATTACATTAAAACTTAGTATTACATGCTGATTTGCCGTTAGTTAAATCCCATATAGCAGAACAAGAAACTGATCGCGATGCACTTGTCGAGGTGACGTCATTCCATAACATTTGATGCCTTTTGCATGCAGCGAGAAGTGGATCAAGTAATATTCACAACGAAAAATGCATTTCATCATTAGATAAAATATTATTTCAAGATATTTAAGAGGTTATTAACTTTGATGTTTTTATGATTTTTTTCAGATACTTTCCGTACATTTCTTAGTTAACTGATACTGTTGTAAATTTGTATGTAGGTACGTTGGAGGTTAATATAAGGGTCTTAATAAAGCGATCTAGTGCATGGACATACACACAATTGATCTTAATAAGCTTTTACACATAAACCCTAGACGTATTAAGATATTTGAAAAGTGCTGCGACCCTGTGGAAATCTTGAAAATGAAATAATTATTTCTATATTTAAAGCAGTTGACCAGCGAAACATTCAGCAATCAGTCTTACAAATATAATTTTAACAATGAAATAGTCTTACAAATGTAATTTTAACAATGAAATAGTAGAATCTAAATAAGATCGAAACACTTTCCACAAACTACAATGTGCGTTGAAATATTTGTATACTAATCTTTCGAGTTTTAACTTGGTTATGCCCTTGCACCTTTGAAATTTACAGGTAACCCCAATGCTGCATGTATATTATCTAAATTCACGTAACTGTCAATCATGTGACAAGTTTAAATGGAAAGCCCAATCGTCCCCAATGTAGTAATTAAAGATAATACATATGTCCGATATCAGTGAAGTATTAAAAAAGGTCACAATTCTGATAAAAATTTATTTTTTATCACAAAACATGCGCACTTTACCTGTACTGGGTTCCATTCACCACTACTCTCTTTCAAATTTTGTCATAAAAACAAAATAAACAAATATGCAACTTTTTTTCTTTCAAGATCCCTGAGTATATCTAGTTCAAATGACGCTATAATTTGCTTTTCTCTAGATCTGTCTACATGAAATCTCTGAAGTTAAAATAAGGCTGGCAATAATTCTCTTAAGAGTAATAATATCTGTGGTGGTGCTGATAGAAACGCACGGGGCATTATTGCAAGAAACTTCAAGATACAATAACAATCTATACAATTTTATATTTTAATAATGATCCTTTGACAAACATTTTGAATGGGTTCTCTTAAATATACTTTCTAAATTCAGATAAAGAAAGGTACTTCCAAGCATTTCTGAAATAAAAAATCCAAATATTTTTTTTAACTCAGAGTGAATGGCATGGGTTATCGTAAAACAACCCAGTATGTGATTTTCTATGACTTTCTCAAATGATGTTCATTCAAATATTTATGAACAAACCTTAAACTTTTACTATTTATTCAGATTTACAGTGATGGACCCCCGCGCCTGTGCTCAAGATGTGATGCGCTGTGTCATGTGTGAGACTGCTGTTGTACAAATGCACTGTGATACATGCCTTCTGAACCTGTGTAAGGCCTGCGTGGGAGAACACATCTCAACTAGTATATCTAAGAATCACAAAGTTGTAAAATTTCAGTCAAGGAAATTCACTTCTCTTTACCCTGGATGTGCCACCCATGGAGAAAAACGTTGTGAAATGTATTGTAGGCACTGTGACATTCCTGTCTGTCACATTTGCATTGCATCTGATCAACACTTCCAACACAAATTATCAAACATCTTGCATGTTCTGGGTGAAAGAAAAGACTTGATAAAGAAAGAACTAACTGAATTAAATGAGTCCATATATCCTACCTACCAGGACATTGCATGTGATGTAAAAGAGAGAATGAGTCAGTTAGAGACGGAATATGGAGATCTTTCAACAGCCATAACAAGACATGGAGAGGACTGGCACAGAGAAATTGACAAACTTGTCAATAAATTTATAGCTGAAGTTTATGAAATGAAGACCTCACAGTTACACATTTTAAAAAATCATCTGGATGAAATTAACGACAAAATTGTAAATATTAAAGTTGATATTGATTCACTTGATATTGTTGTAGACTCTAATGACATGTCAAGACTATTAAGAGTGAGATACAATGTAAATAAATATAAAAAGCTTCCACAAAAACCTTTGCCCTTTGTACCTAAATTCTATCCAGGGACATTCCAAGGCAGAGAAATTTTTAAACTTTTTGGAGATTTGTCATCATTGTCTCCTACAGAAGAAAAGCATGGATACTGTATGAAGAAAATAAAAGAATCAAAGAAAGTTAGTTCAATTCATTTAGTCCAAAAGAAATCAACGCGCATTGTATCCCCCTCTACTTTGTCTCTGAAATCATCAGAAGTAGAAGCTTCTCTAATAGAAAAACAGGAATCATCAGAATATGGATCCCAAAACATACGCAAAAAGCTGCTTTGTTCAGATATTTTTAGTGGAATGGAGTTTTTTGGCATCGAGACAAATATTGCATGCCTGGGTGATGACAAATTTTGGACATGTGGAGACAGCAGTACCATGACACTCTACAGCATCAATGAAGGTTCTGTACAATTTGTCAATTCAATTAAAACAAAGTCAAGGAAAACCCCAACAGACATAGTAATAACAAGAGATCGACGACTAGTTTATACTGATTACAAGACAAAAACTGTGAACATTCTGATATCTGAAAAAATTTATGAGTTGATCAGATTGAAGACCTGGAGACCCCAAGGTGTCTGTACAAGTTCCTGTGGTGACCTTTTGGTTTCCATGGAAAGTGATGACAAAACACAATCAAAAGTTGTGCGATATAATGTTTTCATAGAAACAAAACCATATCCCTTCGCCGCAGAGAAACAAAGCATTCAGTTTGATGATAAGGGTCTTCCTTTTTATTCATCTGGTAGTTCTGATAAATACATATGTGAGAACAAGAACCATGATATTTGTGTATCTGACTGTGGAGCTAAAGCAGTAGTGGTCGTCAATCAGGCTGGAAAACGTAGATTCAAATACGCTGGCAATACATCTGCCCCAAAAACTAAACCATTCAGTCCAAGAGGAATCACTTCAGACAGTCAAAGTCACATCATGATAATAATTGTGTCCATGTTATGGACCAAGATGGACAGTTTCTAATTTTCATAAGTCTCCGAATTCATGAACCATATGGATTGTGTACAGATTCAGAAGACAATCTGTTTGTTGCTGTCACAGATTTAAAAGCATTTTTTCCACTGAGCCATGTGAAGAAAATCAAATACCTGCAGTAAAAAATAACCATGCAATTAAAAATTTACCTGAGACACTTACGAAGGCAAAATCAGACTTTAAAACATGTTTAAAAAGGACTTTTTTCCATAAATTTGTAGGTACATTGATTTCTTTATTGACTAAATATTTATGGACTTCACGGTATGAAATGTCCACGGGTTACTATGTTTATCTGACCGGAACAATTGCCTTATGAGAGGTGTGTCAGTTTGCAGGCGGATTCTTGTTCCTACATGTCATCTGGTGTTTTAGAGGCCCACACGTGCTCTCATACCACCTCTGATGTTTAAGAGTTTCATATTTGCTCCGCATTCAATTTGTAATGTGAGCAAGATTACTGTCATTATAGTATGTTACTGTGCAAGTTACTGTACAGGTTACGATACAAGTTACTGTATGTTACTTTACAAGTTACTGTATGTGAAAGTACAAGTTACTGTGTGTGAAAGTACAAGTTACTGTACGTTACTGTACAAGTTACTGTATGTGAAAGTACAAGTTACTGTGTGTGAAAGTACAAGTTACTGTATGTTACTGTACAAGTTACTGTATGATACTGTACAAATGTGTCTTCTTACGGTTTAAATGAGGTTTATACAATTTCAATTTATTTGGACTATAAGAAAATGATTAATACATAGAAAAATATGTCTGCATTTGTCTAGATCCCGCTTGATTCATTTTTTTTTTTCATATTTACAAGATACAATAAATGTTTGATCCACGCATCAAGTACATAGACACTGTATGCCAAACTAGTCAGTGACGTCATCTCAGTCAGTGCAGCGAGATCACAAGCTGGCATTCATTTTACATTCGTATAGTGTTATTATAGCGGGGAAAATGCACGTCGATTTATTTCTACATTATTAATGAAAAGGGAGGTATTATAGCGTGTATGATAAAAGTATTAGCATCTATTCATCGAGATTCCTTTAATTTGTATTATTAAAGGATTGTTTTTAAGTATTGTGTGAGTTATTGGTGTGTAAATCACACAGACTTGTCACGTAGGCATATTTCATGAAGCGCGCTAGCGATTCATGAAAAATATGCCTACGTGCAAGTCTGTGTGATGTACGCACTGATATCTCAAACAAAACTTAAAAACATACCATATGTTTACATTTAACATGCTCAAAAGCACCAAAAATATACTCAATGTTTGAATTTTTCTCTGCCCTATATCGTTTACATTATTATTAACGTCTCTGTAGCTCATTGTGACGTCACTTTAGTTTGAGTTTCTCCGTGCATATTTCTACGCGTGAGTATACACGAAAATGACATTCAAATCAATTTCATAGTTGGCTTAGTTAAAAAAAACATAGCAAATGTAAATATTTAAAAATGTCTTTATAATTTTTTTCCCGAACAATAGGCTGATGTAAGTATGTGGTCCTTAACCTAGCTGCGTGGGAACAGGTGCATGCATAGGGGGGGTAAGCATCTCCTGTCGACCGGGCATATCCACCGTTAGCCCTACACACGAGACGTGATCCAAAGGTCATGGCTGAACAGCTATAAAATCTTTAATAGTCGAAAGTACTCGACATCCAGGGCCATTGAGTAGTGAGTGATCTTTTTAGTGCCAACACCTACAAAGCCACGGGACCTCGGTTTATACGGTCTCCAAGTCCAGCAGTTAGATTCGAATCCGAACGTAAGGATCCTCCGCGTCTTTAGAGCAAACGCTCTATCCACAGCGCCACGCTGTCGACAAAGTATACAGAACTTTAAGCATTCATGCCTTTTGCTGAACACATTTTACTTATCGGGACTGTGTTTCACAGCAGACGGTGCTACTTATAAACGATCTTTTTAGAGTTGAAACCAACCATGGACACTCTATTTTTCTGAGCTGTTATTTTTATAGCCACATTGTTTTGTTATAAAAATTGTGAGTTTTAGATCGTGTTATTGATTTTTGCTAGGCATTTTGGATTATTCTGACCAAATTACTCTATAAATATACATAACACTTGTTTGCTTTTCATTTGTTATAAATCGACAAAACTCCAATACTGTAGTGAAATCAATCACTTTATTGGCCATTTTCCGGACATAAGAATAAAAGAAGAGTAAAACTACTAACAGGTGTACTTGTTATTTACATATATTTGGGTATAATTATTTAATTACTACACATTTAAGGACTTCAATCGTTATTATTAAACCAGCACAAATTGTGAGCAAAACAAAGAGGTTAAGTCCAAAATGAAATACTAATCGTACCTGATGAAACTGCTACTCTATTTGCCTCAACTGAACAAAAAAAGTCAAGGGAATAAAACATGCTAATGTTAGGCTGAGAACACTAGGACAAAACCTTGAAAATATAACTAATAAACCTTGAAGGTAATCCTTTTTTGCAAAAGCTACTACATTTACAAGTAATTAAGAAAAAAAGCACTCGTGGGTTACCACTTCATCTCTGACACTCATTTGCAAACTTAGAGGGAACGGTAAAATTGCAAAATCGTATATAAATTTCCACAGAACAAAACAATTATACTGAACTCTTTGAAGGATGAAATCGTTGTGCCATCACCCGGGATCTTCTCTTGTTACATCATTGACGTACCATTCATACAAAAGGGTCGAGAGAGTCCGGTTGCACACAGAGATTTAAGAATGAATAGAGAAAAGTCACTATACTGGGTTCGTTACAGAATGAAATTGCTACTTGATAGCATTTACCTGGGATCATCTAAAATTTAACTCCAAGATATCATTAAAAAAAACTATTAGAGGATAGCAAGGTCTCTACAACAGATTTCAGACAGCACAGAGAAAATCCTCTCAATAAATAAACATAGTTTAATGTACTTTTACGCAAGAATTCTTTTTTAAAAAAAATCCAGTGGTAACTTACACATGTATCATCAAAGTAAGTATTAGCGATGCACTTTTTTGTCATCAGATAACATCAGAAAATATTTAAAGATTTTAAAAAGGGCAAATACAATTAAGATGTGTATTTCATTTTGAGTTTAATCGGATATATCGTATCAAACAAGGAATGAAAATTAAAAAAAAAAAAGATAATTGATAAATCGACGTCGATATATTTAATTATCAAATTTAAGGCCACAACAAGTGACTTCTTCTTTTCAAGTTTTTGAATACAAATTGTATAACAATCAATCTATCATATTTTTAAATTTGCATAGTGCAGTTCTGATAAACTATCAAATACAACCAATTAAACCCCAATTATGTAGAGGTACATTTAGTAATAATTAAGAAATTATTTGAATAACAGAATACAGATAATTAATGAAAACGCTGTAGTTAAATGTTCTTCATTGGAGGCATATAGATGGATAAAATTGTCAGGGTAAACTTGAGTAAATTGGCTCACACAGATTTGGTGATAGGTAACCTATAAAAAATCACTTTCACGGTTTTTTTTTTAATTTGCGTCATAGCCAAGGGAGATTAAATAAAGTACATTGTATATTCCCAGAAACATTGAAGTAGGGAGAGAAAACACCTAACAGATAAATGTCACAATCACGCAAGTCACATGATTTTAAAACACCAATCGTGTTAGACTTTCAATGAAAATTAACAAGATAAAGCCGCCATTTACTATTTAGTAGTCAGGTAGGTAATAATTTGGTATGGATTCTTTTTTCATTACATTTTTTTTAAATTAACATTTCTTTAATCTTTCCACAGATGGATAAAAAATTGTGCACAAGTTGTAATCAAAGTCTAGTATATGGCTTCATTATATTTCTTACAAGTCATACATTAAATTAATGCATCAGTGACTTGTAAAAATGCTATGACTGATTCTGGCAATCTACCTACGTGTACACGTCCGCCATGAAATTGGACGTACGATATTATTAAATTAATGAAAAATTTCATTTTAATTTCAATTCAATTTCAAATTTTTGGGAGGAAACATATCCAAATCCAAAGTATAAGGGTTGACATGTCAATTATGTTCAGTCCTTTTTACCTTTGAGTAGAAGGTCATGCTCTGTTAGTGAGTACCTGTTTTTTGTTCTTTTTTTTATTTTTTACCAGAGATCCTTTATTGCAAAATATTTACAATTGCCAATGTTGATATCTGTCAATAATATTCATACAATTAAATCCTTCATAACTGATAAGTTGTTTAGGAAATGTTACATGCTTTTATTTATTTGACAATCTTCATGTAGGCAGTGATTTTTCTACATTTTTTTAAAAGGGGCCTGGGCCTTTACAATTGGGAAAAATCATCGACATTTGTGCCAGCTTGGGAAAAATCAGTAAAATTGTTGTTAACTTAATTTACAGGCAAAATGAAATATATAAGTAATTTTAACACCATTTATTCAATTTATTGCTTATAAAATAACAACTTAGACACAGTTCTACATTAAATTTTAAAACTTTCTTATTTTGTTTAATCTTTGAATGTTGTTAATAATTGTCTTTATATTTTTCATCATGGTTTTATTTTAGAAAAAAAGCAACTTAAATTGGGAAAAACTTGGTAATTTTTGACAGGGGAAAGGGCCAATATTCGGACTAAATTTGTTGTAGAAAAATCACTGGTAGGTATGGTTTAAATTTGATATAGATATACATGTACCATATTAATTCCACTTATTCCCTATTAAGTTCCCATGTCCCTTACGATTTTTAGATTCGATGGATTTAGATACCTACATGTAATTGTTATCTTATATTATAGATAAATGACTCGACAAACAATTATTGGAATTTCTTTTGAGGATTTTTTAAGTAATATTTGTACTATAATTTTATAACATACTGTACGGAAAAAGAAATTCATGGTAAAGTTTTAAAGCAAATAACAGCTGTGTTTTTTTCAAACATTTTTCCCAGTATCGTCATCAAAAATATAAATTCATCATTAACCAACAAGTAATCAAAATATGCGATTTTGACTGAAAATTAATGAGTTTTGAAATCCATGTCAGTATATGACAGTACCCCCATAAAAGAGAAAATAAAAATTCTCATCTCTCTTGTGCATCTATCACAGATTTGATTTTTTCTGCTTGGATTTTATCAGTGCATTTATCTTTCAGATAGGATATTATTCAACCATTCTGACAGGGCAGTGCTTAGTTGGTTGGGGGTTGGGAGTGTCTGGGGCTTTCTGATGCCTTCAAACCCTACCGTCTAGTTAGTCCCGCAGCTTTTCGATTTGAGAAAAAAAAAGATAGTATTTACGGAATCCTGTTGATTTCGTAAATGTGAATGTTTGCAAAAAAAGTCTTGACAAACTCTTGCTATATTTCCTGGATCAAGTTGCTGAAAAAGTAGGCATACCACGTATACGTACGCAAGTGAAAGTAGTACCGACGTAACGTTCGAGAGTTAGGAGACCAAAATAAGGCAATCGGTTTCTTTAAGCTTTAGGGCGAATGTAACTATTATGATTGCCTACTGTATTAAATATCGGTTTCATCGGTAATGCTGTGGCGATTACACAGCTGGCAGGATAAAAAGCCTTATCTATATGTGACGTTGCACGCGCCAAAGTCATCGTCACAGTTGGTTAGAAACTTTTCACGTTACTCTCTGACAACTGTTAAATGGTCTATGATGAAAAAAAAATTTACAAGCTGCACAACAATAGTTGTTGCTTTTACTTCATTTTTCTATAGGCAATTCAATTACTAGACCCACCGAAACTTCTGTCAGCCGTACCTTGATTGCAAGAAATTCAAACTGACTGTAAATATGCAAAAACGATGTCTATAGCTCCAGTGCATCAGTTGGTACTACAGATTGTGTTGCGTTTCTTTTTCCTTTCAGGATATAATAAGATTATCATAAAATTCCACTCTTATTACTGAGAAATCAATATAACCAATAAAAATACCAGGGGTAACCTGATAAGATTTGTACTACTGTGCTGAAAATTATTTCGATCTTCAAGTAAATCTTTCAATTTTAATAGTTTTGATTTAAAATATTTCAATATGTCAACAACGTGGAGGAAACGATTCAAAATGAATACCTTAAAATTGTCCAAAATGTAAATAAGTTTTAGTTTAATAATAATTATAAATAATTAGGTTCTATTAAGAAAAATATCCTGATCTCGCAATTATCAATGGCTTTTCTCTATTCGTTAAAAAGAGATTAATCTCATGGTGTTAAATGAAATACTTATTAGTGATAAACAACAAATCCTATAGTGTTTATTTTTTTCAGATCCACAGTGTCTAGGTCATGTACCCCCGTACCACTGCCCAGGACGTGATTCGATTTGATCTGTGTGAGACTGCTATAGTACAGATGTACTGTGATACATGCCTTGTCAACCTCTGCAAGGCCTGTGTTGGAGAACACATCTCAAAGGATGATTCCAGGGATCACAAAGTGGTCAAATTTCAGTTAAGGAACGCCATTCCCCACTACCCTAATTGTGCCTCCCACGAGAAGGAACAATGTGCGATGTATTGCAGACACTGTGATATTCCCGTCTGTCACAGTTGCTTAGCAACGAATCATCACTTCAGTCATACGTTATCAAAAATCTTGCAAGTTCTCAGTGAAAAGCAAGATATGATTAAAAAAAAGCAAACTGAATTACATAAAAGAATTTATCCAACCTACAAGAGCATTACCTTTGATGTACAAATCAAAATAAGTCGGTTAGAGGAGGAATATGGAGATCTCTCAACAACTATAACAGAGCATGGGAATAACCTGCATAAAGAAATTGACCAACTTGTCTCGAAACTTAAATCTCAAGCTGATGAAATGAAAGCGTCACAGTTACAAACTTTAAAAGAACATTTGGCTGAGATAAACAAACAAATTGATGACATGGAAATTGAAATTAGTTCACTTGATACCGCTGCCACATCTAATGACATTTCAGCATTAATCAATGTAAGATCCATTGTAGATGATTATAAAAAGATTCCACAAAAACTTGAGCCATCTGTACCTAAATTCATTTCAGGGGCAATTCAGGGCAAAGAACTTCCTGAACTCTTTGGAACTTTATTGTCAATTTCTCCTACGTCAGAGGAGGATGACTATAGTATGAAGACAACACAGGAATCACCAGAAGAGGAAACTATTCCTCCAGTTGGACAATATACATCAGAAGCTATATTTTATCCTCAAGCCAATCAAAAATTAGCAGAAGTTAAATTCTCTCCACCAGTCCCTCCAAAACCACCAAAGAAGAACTTGTTGCCATCTTCGGGCAAACAAAAATAACCAGAAGTTACTTACTGTACAGCATCAATAACACTTCTGAACGTAAGTCAATCACAACCAGGTCTGGGATCATCCCAGCAGACGTAGCAATGACGGGAAGTGGAGAACTCGTTTATACTGATAAGAAGGAGAGAACTGTGAACATTGTTTAAGAAAAAGAGATACAAGAAGTGATCCGACTACAAAGCTGGAATACAGGGGGTGGGCACCTTCCAATATCTGTAGCACCTCCTCTGGTGACCTGCAGGTTACCATGGAAAGTGATTATAAACAATCAAAAGTTACCCGATACTCTAGCTCCACAGCGAAACAATCCATTCAAGTTGATGAGAAAGGTAAAACTCTCTATTCAACTGATGGTTCTGATAAACACATTTGTTAGAACAGGAACCTTGATATCTGTGTGGCTGACTGTGGAGCTAAAGCGGTAGTAGTGGTCAATCGGTTCGGGAAACTGATATCCAGATATGATGGGCGTACTCCTGCACCCCTTCATAAAGTATTCAATCCAAAAAGAATCATCACAGATAGTCAGAGTAATATCCTTACAGAGGATTATAATAATTGTTGTGTCCACATCTTAAACAAGTTAAGCAAATTAAATTCTCAAAACATAAAGTCTTTTATTTAATATACTTTCACTTTCAGTTAGCAAGAGCGATTGAAACAAAACATGAAATATGTGAATGCAGCTTTATAGGAAAAAAAACCGAAAGTAATAAAAAAGAAAGCTTCCTGGCTAAACTGTCTATATTAAGTATAATGTTCACTTGAGACGTACACACCATCAAATAATTTTAACCTTATCTACTTGTTCATTTTCACATGTCTGTCTTACTAGATTTTTTTTATGATTTTTGTAAGCGAGGAAATTAAGATAATTTTCAAGTTTCCTTTTCATATCAATTTCACATATTCGTCCTGGTAAATGGCCAGGACCCTTAAAAGTTTTGAATTCTTTCTTTATAAATGAATTTTCTATTATCAAAAGACACTGGGTCGAAATTTTTAAAGTACTAAGTAAATTTTTTCTCCAAAACTGCTCTAGAATATGCATTAATACAGGTGACTCTCGATCTCTCGAAGTTCAAGGGACCGTAAGAAAAGTTCGAGAGATCGGGGGGTTCGAGAGATAGAAAGTGAATAAAATCCGTAATTTTCAGTTCCGATCATCATTGTTCTACTATTATACATACCGGAAGTATATGTTGATAATGTCATTACACGTTTTCATTCGTATTTTACAGGTAATTCACTTGATTTCAACAACGATGTTATTGTTTTGAATAAATAAAATGATTAAGCTTCAATATTTATTTGTTCTCATTTCATGATTACATGAAACCTGAATAGCAATTTTTGATTTTGCTAACCCCCCGGCGCGGGCATGATCGGTCCCTCACAAGATTGCTCGATATACAATTCTTGAGATAGGATTTCTTGTGCAATGTTTGCCAAACTGGGATTGTGTAGACTCGAATAATATAAAAGTTCATAATCTATGGAAAATTTCCTGATACATCCCTAAATTATTTTCTCAAAATTATCGTCTCGTCCAGTCAAAATAAGTTGTGAAGCGATTTGTTTATAATTTACCAGTTAACCAATTAATTATATCAACACTCGGACGACTCACAGGTGTAGTATCATCTCTGTAAACACCCAATGAACACGTCCATCCAAGCCCCAGGCGTTCACTGTTATCCAGATAAGTCCAAGCTGAATTAATTTTACGCTTGATTGACGTGTATACATGTACATGCGCAATCAAAACTTCGAGAGATAGAGAGTAAAAAAACAATGAAATATGTGTAACGGGACCCAGGTCTTGGCTCGAGAGATAGAGAACTTCGAGAGATCGGAAGTTTGAGAGATCAGGAGTAAATTTGCTTAGTTATATAGATGAAAAAAAAAACGGGACCGGAGGTTCACTTCGAGAGATCGGAGTTCGAGCCATCGAGAGTCACCTGTATTTTTAAGCAATGGGGAAAAATATCATTGTTTCGTAACGTTCTTCTCCCCTGCGTTTTTTTTTTTTTAATTAAATCATAACTTTCAAATTTCAGTCAAAAGTTGCGTTTTCCGGAGAAAGGCTCAGATTAGGCGTACCATTTATTCTCTTGCGAGTAAAAATGACTGGGTGGATACTGAAAGGAATATGGGATTTATTACAACAAATATATATAGTATATTAACGATTTTTACTCAGGCATCGGTGTCTGATTCTTTCTAAAATTTCAAACTCATTTGAGTGTTTACACTACGCTTATCAACACAATGCCCCCTCAACGTGTAAGGCGTCGCCTGACGACAGAACAACTGGACAAATGTATTGGAATGCATGACGCTGGCTATTCACAACGTGACGTTGCAAATGCACTAAACGTCAGCAGAGCGTTGTAAACAGGGCCTGGAACAGATAGCAAACTTTTGGTACAGCAGCACACCGACATGGGGGTGTTTGTAAGAGGTTGACAACCCAACGCAAAGACCATTTTGTGGCTTTTCAGGCACGCCGCCATCCCTTCTGGACAGCAACCAGCCTACGTAACGACCTCCTGAACGCCTCGGGGGTAAATGTGTCCACTCAGACGATACGGAATCGGCTTCACAATGCAGGTTTCAACTCAAGAAGGGCATTTGTTCGAGTCCCTCTGACTGTTCGACACCGGCGGGAGTGACTGGACTGGACTGAAGATCATGTCATTTGGACACAGAACGAGTGGGTTCCAGTTTTGTTTACCGATGAGTCCAGGTATTGTTTGGACTTTACAGACAGGAGGCACCGAGTGTGGCGACGACAACGTGAACGTTTCCATGATACCAACATAAATGAATATGACCGTCATGGTGGTGATTCCATCATGGTCTGGGGTGGAATCAGCAGGGATGGAAGAACAGATCTTCATGTCCTGGAGAGAGGAACAATGACGGGGGTGCGGTACCGGGATGAGATCCTCGATGGTTACGTCAGACCCTACGCTGGTGCTGTTGGCCCTGAGTTCATCCTGATGGATGATAACGCCCGTCCTCATCGCGCCAGGGAGGTGGAGCAGTACCTTCTGCAGGAGACAATTGTCCGTATGGACTGACCAGCGCGCTCGCCGGACTTGAACCCGATTGAGCATGTATGGAACATGCTGCAGGTTGCCCTTTCACGCCGTAGAGCACAACCAACGACTTTGGCAGAGCTCGGAAACGCCCTCGTGGAAGAATGAAACAACCTTCCCATTGGAAACATCCGGGTGTTTATTGACAGCATGGCTCGACGTTGTCAAGCCGTCATTGAAGCAAGGGGAGGTCATACCCGGTATTGACACTTTATCGACTAAGTGTAATGATGGACTATCCCCAAAAACTGTGTAATTCTTTCTCTGGATTGCTGTTGACTTTTTGTAATGAAATGCCTTTTGATGTTGTTATCAGATTTCAAGCATTCCGTATTGGTAAAAGTTCATGCCGTTCAGGAATTTTCATTCATAACCTGAGTAAACACGTTCCTGAGTCAAATTTATGTCTGTTGTTATGTTAGTGGTAAATTACACACATATAACCTAGTGATCCTTATCAAATTTTGAGAAGTATATATATATATATATATATATATATATATATATATATATATATATATATATATAAAGATACATTTACATTTATCGTTACTGTTCGTCGCAGCCTACTGATCCAAAGTACCGGGTTCGATTTTCGATCCCGATGCCAAATCGAACCTAAGACTACACATATATAGTGATTATTCTTTTGCCAAGCGTCCAGCATAAGATGTTAAAAGTATTGGACTTTCGGGTGAGACCTTTTAAAAAACTGATGTCCCGTGTCACGGTAGGCGTTGGCACGATTAACAACCCTCAATGATCAATAGTCCTGAGTGCCGAGTAGAGGTCTAAGGGACCTAAAACTACGAGGTAACAAACATTCCAATAATTTTACCATTAGACATTTTTGATACAACATAACGTAAATATTTTTACAGTTACATAAAAGTTGTAATTGTAAACACTTTCAGTGCTAGTAATCAGTCTATTTTTATAGAAAGAATTTTTATAAAATTTAACGTATGCATTAACTAATACAAGGGAAAATGTGACAGTGTGAAAACATGATAGGTTTTCATTCTAAATAACGATCCTTTTGAATAATTTTCCTTAAAAATACGATCTAAATTCCAATGGGAAAAGGTACTCTAAGGTATTGGAATAAAAATTCTAATCTTTTCCTACAACTCCAGAACATAAAAACATGGACCGTCGTATGTGTCAAGTACGTAATGTGAACTTGTTCCAATGACATTTCTTCAAATATTTAAAACAACAAATCTAAAGCTATCACTACTTCTTAGCTATCAAATTATCTTCTCAGTGTCAATGCCATAACAATTAAGTAACTTTATACGTTGATATATAACATTTTATCATTTTTTTTTCAGAACGATCATACAATTTACCAAAAGTACGTAAAATTTATGCTCTGTTAGATAAATTCAAGGACGACTAGAGTGAACTCTTGAGTCACATTCGAATAGCCCTCACATTATTTTATTTCTCTGCAAACCTAAAGCACAGTATGAAAAAAAAACTCTGAAGAATTTTTAATGTTTATAAGAATTTGTTTTTAAAAAAATAAGAAAAAAATGCCTAACTTTTCGATAAAGTTGTGAAAAGTACAAAATATTTAACTTCAACAATGTTTAACTTGTCAAAAAAATAATATTTAACATTTTATGCACTTCTCTTTGTCATTTTGTTGAATAAAGAAGCATATTTTTTAAACGTTTTGTCAAATAACAAATTATATTTGATGAATCTGAAAGTATACTTTCACTTTGTTAAGACATATTAATTTAAAGCATAATTTCTTTAGAAGTAGTAACACATTTCCTTAACTGAGAGTAAAAAAAACATATTCACGTGCTTTCAAGTTACTGTATATAATTGAGATAGGATATTCCAAATTGTGTTTGTTGTCTTAATAAAAATCTGTTTACCCTCAGATAACCAATCTGATTAAAATTAAAATCTTTGATATATATTTAATTTGTATTTTATGTTTTTATGTGTTTATATATATTTTAGATAAATTTTGCTGTGATAAATCATTCATTGATACGAAGCATTTTATATTTTTCTTATTTTTTCACCTTGTGCTACCAGTCTCAAAATCTCTGTTCCCTCTCAACACTTTTTATGTGAAGTAAAGATGAACATGCCTCTGCATGATCGTGTAGATATACGATACATGTACATATATTTATTATTTTTTATAAATAAATAAATGATTGATATTAAATAACCACCGTGTTACCTAGCCGAGGAGACTGAAGCAATCATTTTGTTGGCCGACCATACATGGAGTAAAATGTCAACTTAATAAATAGAGAAAATAAAGATGAGGGTTGAGATAAAATTGCAAATAGTAACCCAAAAAGGGGCGGGGTTTTTGTTCAATAATTGTTGAACATAATTTTTAGATTTAACACAAAATGAATAAAAGGGAGGGAGTAAACAGTTAATTTAATTAAATACATATTTCAAAGGGGGTGTAATAGATATAAATTAAATTTTAAATTAAACATAAAATTAAAAGCCTATGAAGTGAAGATTTCAGTGTTACAAACTTTACAGAAACATCTTGATGAAATTAACAAGAAAATTGTTGACATTAAAGATGAAATTGATTCACTAGATATTGCTGTCGACTCAAATGACATCTCATCACCATTCAGTGTAAAATTTATTGCGGATGAATATTAAAAAAATCTCTCAAAAAACCTTGTTCTCTCTGTATTTAAATTTACTCAAGGCACAATTTAAGGAAGAACTCTATAAAATTTTCGGGACTTTTTCTTCCATTTTCCTTAAATCAGAAGAGCATGGGTACAGTATAAATACAACAAAAAAACCTCCAGAAATGAAATCTCCCTTAGTCAAGCAGAAATCTCCAGAAATAAAAAGGCCACTCGAGACACCAAGGATTTCAAAAAACTTTATTTCATGTTCAGGCTACCTTCGAAATTTTACCTCGGGCAATCCTGGAAGTATTGCCTGGCTACCCTAGAAAATGTTTCCTCAAGCTACTTTCGAAATGTTGCCACGGGCTATCCTGGAAATGATGCCCGGGGCTTCTTTGGAAATGTTGCTTCATGCCCTCGAGGAAATGTTTCTTCAGGCTTCCCTGGAAACGTTCCTTCAGGCTTCCCTGGAAGTGTTTCCTCAGTCTACTCTGGAAATATTACATGTTTTAGAAATGAAACGATTTGGACAAGTGGAAATAGCCATACCATGCCACTTTACAGTATCAATCAGAGCTCACTAATCAAGACAATCACAAAAAAATCGGGGAACATCCCAGCATATACAGCAGTATCAAGAAATAGAGATCTTATTTACACTGATAAAGTGGATAGATCTGTCAATATTGTGAAGAATGAAGTCATAGAAGAGGTGACCAGACTACAGAACTACAGACCTCAGGTGTCTGTTGCACTTCTAAAGGTGACTTCCTGGTTACCATGGACAGTGATGACAAAAGACACTCATTAGTTGTACAATACTCTGGCTCTCACAAACAAACAATCCAGACACTCTGATGTCAAGGCTAAACCTCTCTACTCATCTTGTGGTTCTGAAATATACTTATGTGAGAACAGGAACCTTAGTTTCTGTATGGCTGACTGTGGAGCTAAAGCAATAGTTGTTGGCAATCAAGTCGGGAAACTAAGATTCAGATATACTGGACAAACTCCCAGATCACAAAATAAACCATTCAGTCCACTACAGACAGTCAGAGCCACATCCTTATAAGTGATGATAACAATTACTGTATTCACATCATAACTGAGGATGGAGAGTTTCTACGTAATATAAATTTTAACAGCTTGTGGGTTGTGTACAGATACAGATGACAACCTGTTTCCTTCTAGTTACAGTGATTTATTTTATATTTTATACAGTGTTATTAAAATAAAAATACCTGCAGTTTAATCAGTCACTTCATTGGTGTGTATATCATATACGGTACCAATTTTGTTGTACCAGATGCGCATTTCGACAAATTATGTCTTTTCAGTGATACTGATGCCGAAAGGATGGAAATCCAAAATATTTAAATAATTTATTTTATTTTCCTTATTAGGTACCAGAAATCAATATGATTTTTGAGCTGAAATTGTTATCTAAGTAATGTGGTTTTTTTTTAAAAACTAGAAGACTCTAATGAGACCGAAACTCTACTGATGATTTCTTGATGTACCTTAGTATAGTCTACTTGTGTACCAAATCTAATTGAAAATGTAACATTATAAAAAATATTATTAGAAAAAAAAAATCATAGAAAATTCAAATTCTATTTTAGTGACCTTGACAACATCATTTGTAAAATCAAAAATGAATAGACAGAATCATGCTTCAACGTATGTACATGTTTTCCAAGTATTTTTGAAATTTGATCAAATCTGCATGAGAACTAGCGTTTTGAAAGAAGATGATCATTTTTGTCGAACATAGAGGACTTAAAATTAGAGGCTAACGTACCTAAGATATTGGTTCATTGTGCATGAATAGATTGTAGCAGTGTATAAACGGCAAGTGACATACAGCAATAAAATCATTAAACAAGTTACTCTCATTATTTGTACGCATTGATATTTGTGCGGGTAGAAAAAGTAAGAAAATATATATTCATAAAAACCTAACACCTGACAGTATTGATAATGAACAAGAAATAAACAAAAATATCATTATTGGACAAACTATTATTAGTGTTTCCAGATACATTTAGGCTGAAAAAGATAATAATTATTGTGCACAATATCACGCATGAAAGAATAGTAACTATTTCTTTTGTAAAGAGTTAATACCCTATCAATGCTATAAAACGAGTTCTAAATCTTAAGATTTATTTGTCCAAGACTATTTTATGAAGTATGAACAGAGAAGATTGATTGATTGTATACTGTTTTACGTCCAATTCGAGAATTTTTCACTCATATAGAGACGTCACCATATACCGGTGAAGGGCTTCAAATTTTGACCTTTACTCGGCACTTACGGCCATTGAGCAGTGAGGGATCTTTATC